CAATTTGACAATAAATTTCATATATTGAAAAAAATAAAAAAATAGACAAAAAAAAAGAAAGTTGTCTGGTATGAAGTGCCATATATTAGTTTTTAAGTTAATGAATGTGAGTTTAGAGGAAAGGAATATAACAAGGGTAGGATAGTCACAGAACACTTTGTTAGGAGCCAAGGGACTCTGATGTAGGTCTTGAGTGATTCATGGGCTCTAGAGAGAGCGGAGAAGATTGGATTTTCCAGGGAGAAGAAGTAATATACCCAGAGTCATGGAGGTAAGAAAGGGCAAACTGAGACCAAGAGAGAGAAGTTGGCCTAATCAGAGGATTTGTACAGGAGATAACAGTTGGAAGGTAGGAAGGGCTGAAATAATTGTTTTTTTGCAAGTAAGGATATGTATCTTCTAGTTACCCATACAAAGTCAAGTTCTAGGACACTATTAACACACTGAGTTATGGGGTGCTCATCTTAAAATGTAAATCAGATTATATCACTCCTTTGCTCAAACCTTTGCCATTACTTTCCATTATACATAGAATGTGTCATCCTTAACATGGCTTACAAAAACCCTACATGATGTCTGCCCTCATACTAGCTTCTAGAATTCTAGCTTCCTCCTGTGTCACATTTCTGTTTCCTTAGTACCACAGAGAGTCTTTCCGTTCCTTGAGCACATCACATCCCTTTCCATCTCGGGAACTATATACATGCAGTATCCTCCTTCTGGAATACTTTTCTCCCAGTCTTTTCCTGATGAATTGACAGTCATTCTTCAGACTTTGACTTAAATGTTAACTTCCTGAAAAAGGTTTTCCCAGACCTTCCTCACTTTAAGTTGATTCCTTTTGTACTCATTTTCTGTATCTTTCTTTGAATTATTTTTTACATTTTAAATTATATACTATGTATGTAATTTTTTATTAATTGTGTGTCTTTATTCTGAACCATATGTTCTTTGAGAATGAGGAGTGTGCCTGCTTACTGTCTCCAATACCCTAGAGCTTAGTACAGTACCTGGCACATAGGAATTCATTTCTCCCCAAATAATGTTGAACAAATGAAAGAAACCTTGAAGTTTGTTGTTTTTTTTTTT